TGCTTCAGCAAACCCATCGATCCCTCTTTCCCCGCAGCCCCTGCCTCCTCTCAATCTCCTTCAACCCTGAAAGACCTTTGGACCAACATCAATGTTGCCAAACCCATTAACGCCAAAGCTGAGCTCTTGGTGGACTACATCGCCAACAAGGTCTTATACGCTTCTTTTCTTCTTGCTTTTGCTTTCTGGGTGTTTTACATTTTGTTTTTTCACATCTTGGTTCTTGTGGGTCGTAGATGAATGTGGCTTGGGTTGGCTTGGAAAGAGCGCCAGATAAGTCTCTCAAGAAGAAGATTCATGGGTGAGTCTTGCTTTCTTGTTTGGTGGTGAAATTGTTTCTTGGGCTGTTCTTGATTTCGAGTTTTCGCAGGTTGGGGCTGTGGCTCCTGTCGCGGGTTAAGCCCTCCGAGATATTTTTGAAGTCTATTTCGAAGGAGATCACTAGTGTTGAAGTCATTTACCCATCAAGGTTGGTGGTGATGGTGATTTTGTGGGTTTTGTGGATGTGTTGTTTTATTTTACTATTTTACCTTTCTGTTGATCTTTCTTGTTATTTGTTTGTGGTTGCTATATTTAACTGATCATGCTGGCACAGTTTGCTCATTCAGTATTTCGATATTGTTCAATTCTTCGATTCCCTGATATATGATGTGGATAATGGAGTAGTGTAAAATGAGAGATAAATTTATGTCTGTTTTCTATCTAGAGGCCTCTTGTGCTTGTTTTTATCTTGGTTTTTTCATTTTAAGTATTGTAGTTATGCATGTTTGACAGGACCATTTTGCTTTTATGTACTTGTTTATAGATTTTGTTAAAGTTGTATTCTCTACTTTAATTCCGTGGGATAATCTGTTTTTGAAAATTCATGTGGGAGGCGATGTGAATAAAGAAGAAGAATTCTTGTACATATTTTTCTTTTTTCTTCAATTTTATATAACGAGACTAATAACAATATATTTGCAGTTTGAATGCTCAACTTGTTCGTCGAAGAGTAAGACATATTGCTATGAGGTAATTCTTTCTGATCCCCTTCCACTGGTGGTGCTGTAATAAATCATTTTCTGTGTTAACATGGAATGTGTTAGTGTTTCTTGTGATTTAATTTATATGTTTGTCATATTAAATTTTATCTGTTTACAGGGGAACAGTTATTCACAGGAAATACTTTTATGGTTCAGTTTCATTAATTCCATTGACTTCTGCACTTAGCGTACGTATGTGTTTATGTGTTCAGTGATGTTACTTTCTAATGTATTGTTGATTTTGTGACAGTTTTGAGTACTTTTGCTTTTTAATAATTAATTAATTCTTTTTTATTGTCATTTGATATCCATGTCTTAATTTTGGATTGCAGGTTTTACCGTTACCTAATGTCCCATTCTTCTGGGTTTTATTTCGCACTTATTCTCATTGGAGAGCTCTGCAAGTTAGTACTATTGTTAACCTTGCACAGCACTTGCAATCTGTTCATTTTCTTTTACTGTCACTTGTTTGTGTCAATATGTTTGTTTTACTGTCACAATCAAGGACTTTCTACTGTTCAAGTCTTTTTTGTTTTATAGATGTTATATTCTTGTTAAGATTATTGAACTGGTAGAGGATATAAATGTTAAAGGATTTAGATAATTATATCTCATTTCCACTGCATGGCTTACTGTTTTTTAAATCTTTTAAAGTAAATAGAATATCATGGGAAGCTTGTTTGTAAATTCAACCAGTCAATTTATGTATGTTTCATATTTAGCTGGTACTGTAAATCACGTTGGACATCATTTGATTTGGCAAAATAAAAAATGTTGCATGGATGTTAGTAGCAGTCAAATTTGTCCGAGGATTTGCCTTATATGTTTATTTTATGTTCCCAGATAGATGTTAATCTTTGATTAGGATGATGTCATTCTTGATCCTTATAATGTTTGTAAATTGATTTTTGAGTGCATTTATCTTGAATTATGCATAAATCTCTTTTTCTGTTTTATATAATTTTATTTAGGGAAGTGAGAAACTGTTTCAACTAGTCTCAGATAGCAGCAAGACTTCAAACACTTATACAGATAAAAAGAAAACTGAGCACAAAGACTCTAAAAGTGAAAGCCACAGTTCGCATAAACCATCTTGGGTAAGTATTTATACATTATGCTCTAGTATTAATTGAGATATTGGGTAGAAAGTGATTTCCAAGCCAGGTTACAGACATGCATATATTTACTTTGGAGTTTGGATTGATGAGTTCTTAGTGCTTCACCTACCTTGCAGACTTTAAATTATTGCATGCATAAGCTAAAAACTATTTTTTTTATAAGGTTTTGGTATTTTTATTCACTGTGTGACTGTGTCAATCTGTAATATTCTTGTATTTTATCTGATGAATTTAAGAGTTGTGTGGCAAACCTATGCAAATCTACTTTGTTTGGTACATAGGGCATCTGGATAGGAAAGTGTTAGGGGTTTTAGAGGATGACTGATGCCAAATTGCAAATTGTGCTAATAGTTACTTAGCAATGTCAATGCATTTTCATACGCATGCATACAAGTGCACATTTTTTATGGTGAACAAACTCCATATCTTGTGGTTTTGCACGTTATACCTAATCTACATTTGACAGCAACACCATTTTGTTCTCTTATCATTCAGTTTCTGTTATTTGAACATAAAATATTGACATCACAAGTAATTAATTTTATCTCACGTTTTTTCTCAATCTTTTTTGTATGCCGCCATATAAAAAGTATGCATCAGCATTAAAGAGCACAATTTTTGTTGTGTCAATTTTGTGTTCACAAAACATTTTCAGCTTGTAGTCCAATTCTTAACAATTATATATTATTATCTTTACTAGATCTCCCTCCATAAATAGGGTCTCATATAGTTATAATAATATTATCTTATGTACAAGCATTCATTGTTTACTCACTGATGACTTTTTATTTTTGTTTAATGATATGTATGAATTAGGTGTTGCGGCCATCCAAAGAACTAGAGAATCTTGTTCGTCTAGAAAATGGTCAAGACAGTCTTAGTCAACATGTCATCGAAAATATTTGCAAGATATATGACCTCAATACCCAAGATGTTATAAAATATGAGAGGTCTATTTTTTGAATCAGTTTTGTAATACTACATTTACTTCCTTTGGATTTTCTTAATAGTGTATTTGGATGAGAAATTTAAATTAATTCATTTGTTTGAAGAATTTTAATTTTTTTGAGGTAAAATACATTGTTTAGGTGGAGAATTTATAAATAATTTAAAATTCAAGTATTTGTAAAATTTCTTGAAATAATTAAATTTTTAATTCTAAAAAAAAAAAGAGTAAGAATTTGAAATTTCTCATTTTTTTTTCTTCTTATTTCATCTATATGTTTTATCTTATCTCTTATCTCTTCATGTTTTTAATTATTGAATATTCAAAAATATTTTTAAAACCATTAAATATTTAAAAATTAGTTAATATTTATTTTTATAAAATTTAATTTAAAAATCTTAATATATAAATTTATTTTTAAAATCAATTTTATTATGATTGAATCAAATTATTATATCCAATCTAAGAATTTAAAATTTGAGAAATTTAAATTGACTTATCAAAACAAAATATTTAATAATGATAATAATTGAAATCAAAGTAATTTAAATATCAAGAATTTAAAATTTTTGAATTTGTAAAATTTTTCATCCAAACATTTTAAAACTTTCGTCTACATTTTTTGGCTGATAGGTAGATAGTAATTGATTCAGAGTTATCGGTTAGTGTTACTGGGGGAATATGTCTTTTGAACATTGCAATAACTATCTTTCCAAGTGTAATTCAATTACATCTTTTGTAGTTGTGTTAGTGTAGTATTTTTGTCAATAAATTTGAATTTTGTGAAATATATATTGAAACTAGAGATGTTATTTTGCAATACTAATAATACAATTAGAGTTATAGCACTAGCTACCTAAAAACTAAAGTCACATTGCCAGTAAATGTTACTTTACATACTCTTAAATTTGTTATACTTTAGTTCTTTATAATTATATTTTTCTTTAAAGAAAGTTAACAATGATTTAAAAAACTTTTAGTTTTTTCATTAATTTAATTTTAAAAAATAATTTATTTTTTATAGTTTGTTTAATTTTAAAAAATTAATTATTGAGAAATCATTTTATTCAACTTATAAAATAATTTGTTAGAGTTATAATTGTTAGTATACAACGTATTATCTTTAATTGTAATCAAACAAATAATTATTTTTATTTATATTTTTTTAAAAGAGTATATATAATCTTAAAGTTAAATTTGTGCAAGAAATATGACTTTATTTTAATTAAAAATGTCCTCAAATAATAAGAAATGATATAGTTTTAGAAAACAATGTCATTTTGGGTTTAGGGTTTAGATTATAAAAGGTAGACAATTACAATTGAAAATAATATATGTAGTGGGAAAAATAAAAAAGAAAGGAACTCTATCAATAAATTGAAAGCAGAAGCAATGGTGACATTAAATTAGGTTTTGAGGAGAAGTAACTTGTTATATAATTGTTAATTCAAATTGTAACGGTTGTTGAGAAAAAAAGAAAGGTAGCCAATTATTATAAAACAGAAGATGAAAATGTAGAGAAATTGAGACATAGACAAATATATTGATATGACAACATGTGGAATTAGTTTTATGATGATGTGAATGTGTAATACGAATGAAATCACATGTCTCACTCCTTGTCCATCCAATAAAAGATTGTCACATCAATTAAAAGAGCCATATAGAATTCTAAATTTTTTCACACCACATGCCTTCTTCCCCACATTATGCCCCTCTAGTTCATAAATCAAATACCTTTAACATGATCTCTTCAAGTGGCAATGGATGACGAAGCCATGACATCATAGATCGAGAACATCACTGCTTTTTTTTTTTTTTTTCAAGCGATAGGTGTGCATTTGACCTTCGGATGTAACGACTCGACTTAGTCCTTACACCGTACAGTATAACTACTAGCAGCGAAAAACGTCTAACTTAAGACTAAACACATACAAATATGAAAACATGTATTATATTGCATGCATATAAAGGTAAGTAACTCCATAAATATGTGTAATATAAATAATCTAATAAATGTAAAATATGCATCTTAAGTTGTCGGTCAAGTAACTATTATTATCTACACAAGTCTACCATCAGTTGAAAGTCAACAAAATATCCTCCAACTCCTATGCCACTAGATGGCCTCCACAAAAACACTTCAGTCTTATCCTTTCCCTACTCCTATACCACAGTCCACACAACATGAAAACACACAAGGGTAAGTTAGAATAAAAAGAAACAACATATATACAACATAAGAATATCACATCACATCATCGTCTCATCTTTAGCAACATATCACAATATATAGCACAGATAAACACAATAACACATTTCATCACAATTCAGCACAACATATGAATAACACAATCAACTCAGCACATCATATGCTCAACACAACAACTACATGTGTCGACACACATTTCAACTAGGAGATTTCCTACAACATAGGGCGAGCAGTTTAAGTGGCTTGACTCTATCGAATCGAAAACACAAGGTGATCTTTTTGGGCTTACTAGATTAACAACAAATTGGATAAAAATTCATAACTCAGCAACTTGGTTTCTCGAATGTTGTCACTTAAATAAGGAAGTATAGTACTATTGTCAGTGTAGAACAATTGGGCTGGACTTATCACGACATTAGCTAGCTTAACTAAGTCTCCTATGGGGTTAGCTCATTGACTACCCTCCAAATACAATGCCCTTCTGATACTCAGTTAAAAATTAAGTTTCTGACTTCGTACTTTACTCGGTTGGTCACTTGTAATCAGTATAGTTCAATCTGGCCCCTATACTATGGTTGTTTCATACATGTGTGCCTCAACCTTGTTCATACATTGTACCAACAAAGTCCAAGAAGAGAAACATCATAGTATCCATTTCAAGAATCAACTTCCCAAGAAGGGTTTTCAACAAATGAGGCTTTTGGAGTACCTTAACATAATATTCACACAATGAGATATGTAACCTTCAAAAACTTCGCCTCTAGTTCTAAGTGGTCAACATAACTCAACAACACGACAACTCTTTATGGATTCAACGCAACAACAAAATCAACATACAACTTTACATCTTAAAACTCAATTATCACTACTCATATTCAACTCTTTAATCAACATACATTTCAACAACACATCTTATACTCAACACAACTACACAATCATCATACAACTTTATCAACACACAACTCACAACTCATATCAACCTCTCAACTAATGACTCACAAACTATCATCACATACTACTCCATCTCTGCAACTCATTCATCATTTATCCATTTAACAACTGAAATCAACAAGTATTTGACACTTCTTCAACTACATCATATTATTCATCAACAACAAGTGCCTAGTGCCACATATTTAGTGTTCAACACCATCTAGGCAAGGAGTTCTTTGTCTTGCCCATGCTTGACGCTATACAACCCACGTCCGATGTGGCTAAGGTAAAGGCCCCTCAGACCTCGTGCTTAGCATGCTAAACTACCACGCTTGACCCCACCACAAGCAAAGAGTCTCTACATAAGTCTCACCTGGTTTCACCACCATGACGTCTGTCAAAATCCAGATAAAGAGCTCTGGCTTGGCCACACTGGACGCCACTCAACTTTGGGCTTAATGTCACCAAGTTAGAGAGCTCTTAAGATTCCTATGCCCAACGCCATTCAATCATGCTTAGCATCGTTCCAACCCGAGACGAGTCTCTTTCATCATGTCTAGTGCCACCAATCCTACGCCCGATGTGATCAAGATAGAGAACCTCAAGTTAGAACAGCACCCAACGCTTTGAAGGCGTGTCCAACGCGACATTAGAATTCTACATATGCAGAACTTGATTTGGAGCCACAACCTGATTTTAAGCCACAACCTGAAATCCAATACAAATCCAACACAAGTAGCAAGAAAATAATGTTCCTACACAACACAAACAACTCAATTCTTGCACAAAAGGTAACATACAACAACAATTCAACTCAAATCACCACATTCTTCATCAATAACATAAGACCCCAATTTTCACAACTCAAAATCTTCATTTTAACTCCACCATTTCAAATTTCAGAGAAATTCATGTAACAACCACTCATGCATCAATCAACAAATTGACAACTCCACTTAAGAGTGAAAATCTAGCTTCCCTTACCTCAAGGTAGCTCGGGTCTGAGGTAGAAGAGAAGAACAATATAAGTCTCCACACAAGATCAATGACTTGATTCGAGGTTTCCACTACCTAAATCACAAACAAAACAACTTAGAAAAGATTGAAAGAATAAAAGGAAAATGATTGAGAGGAAAAAACTCATGGACCAGAGACCTTCTCTCTAGAATCCTTTCTTTAAAAAGCTAAGGAAAAAAGTTTATAAGGCCTTATCAAAAACAAAAACCTTATATACTCTTCCCTCAAGAGTCAAACTAGATCTCTGCCTAGAGAAATCTCCTCTCAACACCACTAAAGCTCTTAAGGAAATCTTCAAACTCCTAAGTCTCTCAATATCGACAACTCAACTTAACAACATAAAATAACTAGGGACAATATAACACTATTACAACTTACAATGTTACATTGGAGCTTCCTCTAAGAGGATGATGGAGATGACAGTGAGATTTTAGTAGCATTTGAAATCTTCTTGTAGGGATTGAGGGATGATGAGACACTCAATACTTGTGGATGAAACCATTGGGGTAGAAGAGGTCGTTGGTGCAACAATGTTGAGGGTTTGTTCATCTTGCTCAGCTGAGGCTTCTATTTCAGATACCATCCAAAGGAAGGATATCCGTTTGGGAACATGCAAACTAGTGGTGGTGCCATTTCGGTGGTGGACGACATCCTCAATCTACTGAAGGAGGAGCAATTTCTCGACGAGTTCCATGAAAGAGAGAAATGTTCGTGTTGTAATAAAAAAAATAGAAAAAAATTCAAAATCCTAGGTGGTTATTTTAATTGACATGGCAATTTATTATTGGAGGGACAAGGAATAAGACAAAATTTGTGAGCCAAGTGATTTCATTCCTAGTGTAATAATATTTATTTTGTTTTAGAGGCGTGTTACAAAGGCAAATTTCTCTAATATCATTGAAAAGGTAAACAACAAGCTTGTTGGTTGGAAAAGTCGCCTTTTTAATAAGCC